CCCCCCCCCCCCCCCCCCTAAAAAAAAAGAGGCTAGTCAGGCTTGTTTGCTAAATCTAGCAGAAACTCCGGTATTTTTTATATAATTTTAGAATTTCTCAACGACAATACATGGTAATTTTTTTATATTTTCTAAAAAATTAGTCTCGATGTATTCTGTAAGGTGACAGTGATTACCTTGGTTGAAATTCATTTCGGAAGGAAGGGGAATGACAACTATTTTTTGAATCGGTCTATGAAGTGCACTTATTTTCATATTGTTAGGTATGGATGTCGACGTGGTATAAAACACAGAGGAGGACATTCTTGTTCCAGACCCCGGGGTGTGGGGGTTCCACCGTGTGACCTAGAGAACTTGGCTGATGCCATCAAGATGATCATGCGAGAATGTGAGAATGCGGGGTTGTTTTGTGAGTTGCAAGAAGGAACATTATTAGGTAGGTGCACTCCAAGTGGAGAGAGGAGGGGCAAGGGCCATCGTAGCTTAGGTGGAGGTAAATCTAGCTCATGGTCATACAATTACGCTGATCGTGAATTACAAGTGTGAAGGAAAGTTATTGGATAGGTACTCCCCGAGAAAATTATTGGGAGAGGTTGCCGATATGTTATCAAGATAATCATGAGTAAATGTGTAAACATGGTTAGGTGTTTGGGCGTGGGATAAATGAAGCTGATGTTGTCAAGTTGATCGTAAGAGATTATTGGTTATATCGTTTTGGAACCTTTACAATACGCAAACTCAAAACTTTACATTCCCCACAATATTATTAATTTCTTATTTTTAATCTTTTGCACAGGTGCTGTAAAGTTTAATAAGCTGTTACCATGGGAACGTGACGCAGACTTAACATTTCTCACAGCCAACTATACTGCATTTAAAGCATTGGGTCCTGTGTTTCACGATGCTGGCTACAGCTTTACTGCGCATGACAGTTCCGTGTGGTGCTGCGCTGACGGTCGGAAAGCTGGGGGCAAATTCTCGATGTATGCCGATGGCTGGAGTATCGAGCTATACGGCCAACATCTGATGGAGTCAGAAATCCTCGTAGCGCAAGGAGAAAAGCCGACCAAGGTAGTATTATTGTAATTTTGATTTTAAAAAAACTCATTAATAATCCATGAGGAAAAGGCAAAGGAAATCACTACCGCGTCGGAGGTTTTATATGTGATTTTTATTTTATTTTTTTTATTAAGCTTTCATTGTACAAAATATATATATTACATGTACAATGAGGCAAGTTTACAACAGGTACATACCCAACAAGGTAAACTGCCAAAAACAATTGTTAGTTATATAGACTAACGAAGATAACAGAACATAGCATGATTCACATCAACAAAACACAGTGAACAATACAAAAACATTGTGCAAAAACATTTAAGTGAAAAAAGAGACAGTTAACAACATTGTCTGTAAGACGAGGAGGTCAGATCACGTGTAAAGAGACATTTTGGACAGACAGATTTCCAGGTTGAGATATTATCACAGTCAAATGTAGAATCCAGCGCAGACTTGTAATGATGGTAAAGAGCAGATCTGAAACAAGCGACCGATGAAAGGCAACAGGTTCACGTAGGTAGACTGTTCCACAGTTTTAACAGTTCGTACGAAGTAAATTTTTTGAAACTGAGAGGTTTTACATTTTGGGACTACATAATCGAGGAAGCAACTGTTTCTAGTTGATTTTAGTAAACGTTTTGGCTGGATTAAGTTAGAGATGATAAAAAATCATGTTAATTTACATTTGATTTTCGCGGCTTAGACAAAGTTGATTTTTAAAATTGCTTCGCCAATGACTCATAAGATGGTCTTTTTTTAAGCCATTTAAAACACTCGCAGTCGCTGCTTTATCAGATATAAGACACTTGGCTGTCGCCTCGTGTTTCATATCTGATAAAGTACTCCTGCTTGTGCTTTGTAAATAGTACATAATTCATGATAGCCTGCGAACAGGCTCTCAAGCTGAATTGAGAGCCTGCATCGATGACTAATGAATTTGAATATCTGCGTCTCAAATCGTGACGCGAAATTCTCACTGGTCAGACGCTATAATTTATATGTTTCCGCTGAGCTCTATATATGTAACTGCTAGCACTATGCATAAAAAAACACATTAACTGATCAAATTGGTCTTGGCCGTCTTATATCAAGGCACGAAATGTTCTGTTTTGAGAAAACAGTATTTAAAACATTTGAACTTTTGCTTGAATATCTCATATTTCGAAAAACAGTATAAAATGTACGGTCTAAATTTAGTTTGCACGAAAGTTGTAAATAACACCATATAAGGATAGACATTCCATATTTGGAAAAATGAACGTTACGGGGCAGATATTCAAGTTCATTAGTCATCGATGCAGACTCTCAATTCAGCTTAAGAGCCTGTTCGCAGGCTAAATTCATGAAGAAAACACAATGAAAATCTTGACCGTAAACGAGCTTGTATATCTGATGCAAAATCCTGCATCAACTTTAAGTTCACTTTTTCTCATCAAAAATCATTGATGTCTTTAAGATTATTGCAGAATACGAAACGTTGCCATCAAGACGAATCATAAGCTATATACTAATTCGCGTCCATCTTGTACAAGCTATACAAAAAGGCGTTGTAAACTAGCACGATTTGTCATTAGATACACAAGCTCTTTCACGGTCATGAAATCCCAAATGCTGTCAATGGTAAAGAAATCTGGACACGAACTAAAATTTTCTTATTTTTACAAGGTGGACTTTGCGGGACAAATGGTGACAGTTATGAGAAACCCGGGACTTTTTGCACGCAACCGCTACGGCAATTTATTGTATCGTCACCAGGAACATTGGTTAGACCGCGGGAAAACCTCGGGATGGCATTTCTACGACCCCGGAGTGTTTGAAGGATGCCCTGAAGAAGGTCATTCTGGATGTCTTAGTCAATATTCCACTGACGGAAACATGCAATTTGACATGAATATATGTCCATGTACATTACAAACACATTAAGGTGATATGACTAGAACATAAGTAGATATATAGATAGAATACTTTATTTAAAGAAGGATGGATGATAAGTTCGTTGGAGAAGAACTGAATGATAAGTTCCTTGTATAGGTTTTGAGGATGACAACTATACTCTCGGGTCTCGTATGACGTCACGTGGGGTGAAGGGTCTGTGTCAAGAGTAAAGGACGGCTTTTATATTGTTTATATTGTTTTATATTGGCTTTTATAATAGTCGGAGAAAGCATTTACATAAGATCCGTTGACAGCCATTTTGATTAGAATATCACACGTCAAAAGATTTGGCCGCTCGAAGATGAGTGCGCAGTAACGTACTGCGCACTTGTCAAGTTTTTCTCGACGGCCTTTCCTTGTTCAAAAGCTGGAACCAGAATGGCTAAGTTCGCAAGGCAAATTTCAGTAAGGTTGACGCATGAACAGACGTTTTTCCGCGGTGTTGAAATAACCTGAGTATCAGGCTAATCTGGCGAATGAAAACATAAGGGCCTGATACTCAGGCTAGAACAAGGCTCCTAGAAGATCAAGGGGGAAACTGTCAATCTTTGCCGTACACACGAACAAGTGAAACTTGCTCGTCTGTTATTTGCACAATAACGGACACAAACCTTTACCGAATAAGTAAACGTCGTGTTTTTCACAAAAACAAAAACTGACAATTAAGATATAGTGTATATAGTTAAAAACGTGACATGATGTATATGGCTATTCTTGACAAATGTTTAAGTCTAGAATGTTTTGATGAATATACTAACTAAAAGAAAACGTTTTTGCTTTACATGATTAGGGTTCAACCCATTCTCGTCCCCAGAGCCATTTTCGCTCGGTCACTCGCAACCTCGTTCCCAGGGTCTCTCCTTCTGTCATATCCTGGGTACGAGGTTGGGTCACTCGTTGAAACTGAGGTATAGGCTCTGGGTTAGACGCATAGATATCTTATATACACTAGATAGCGCATCTCCTTTAGTAAAATTGAAGCCAAGAATATTCCAGCGGTACCCCCATTTGAATAGATGGCGGACATGTTGGTGTTTCCCACTCGCTAATAAACGTTTAAAAAACAACATCATTTGAATAGTTTGAAAATGTATTTGGAATAGGTTTAACTTAATGTTTAAGTTCCTTGTTTAAGAAATAGAAAACATACGAATCTTCTCATTTCATGGGAATACTCTGAGCCTGCAATCACGGCTTCAATTTTTGAATTGCAGAATAATTAGACAGATACACTATCTAGTGTATATAAGATATCTATGGTTAGACGACTAAAGGGAGAGATCTGATTGGCTTCTCAGAGAACTGCTATTCGCAGTTGAGCAATTTTCGCCTTGAAAAATATTTCTATCAAAATATGTCAACACAAATACTTCGTTTCTTCGTAATACTTGTCTGTGAATATTGTTACGGTTGCTGAAGCGTCCCAATTCAAGAGCATGCGCTTTAGAAACTACTGCAAGTTTTCTTGCACTTCCGGTTCCGTGTATTCCAGGGCCTATGAAGGTCGTAAGCGGCCGTGAGGCCCTGGGAACGAGGATGGGTTCAACCACGATGGCTCTGGGTACAACTTACTGAGAACTTTTGCGATAATCCGCGTTACAACTTGCGTAGCAACCATATAAATTAATATTTCGTTAGATAAGCCCAAAACCAACTTCCACAAGAGAAGTTCTTGCAAAAGAGCTGTGAGCTGAAATAGTCTAGATGACCATATTCAAACTAATCTTAACTCTATGTCTCTCAATTGGTTCAAAAAACATCTAGATAACTAACCACTTCCACTTCTTAACTTTTATAAAAATTTCCCGTATTTATGTCAATGTGTTATATTTAACAAATATAAAACATTTTCCGTGTTGATATACAGTTATATGAACACGAGTGGAAATTGGGAAAACGAGAATATATAGCACAAAGAAACATAAAGAAATTTTCCGACGTTTCCGTGTTGACATTGAGTTATATCAACACGGCTCTTAGCCAATCACCGTTCAATAATATTTATGTAGATAGTGAGCACCGCCCTTTGAAAAACAGATATTCTGAAAAGCTACCGTATGTCGTAAATAAATGTGAATAATAATAACTTCAACCAAAGCTAACCGTTTAAATTTCCGTATGAACAAGGGGAACCCAAAAAACTTTCGTATACTTCCGTCCGATCTCGTGAACGCAATCTATAGGTTGAATTCTGGCATGGTAGTCTAGTAGAGCCAAAATTGTTTGTATGTCGTATTTGGCGAGTCTGTTGGTGTGAGTGAATCACTGGTAGTATTGTTTCCATCGCTTCTTCTGTCTTGCGAAAGAGTTCGATTTAGTGGCGGTCTAAAATTCGGACGTTCGCGGCACTTTGTTTTTGGCAGAAATATAGCGGAGAGCGCACAACGAAAACGTCTCTGAAATAGTCCATAGATCAAAGGATCTAGAGAACTTTTCAAAAAGTTCAACAACTTTGCGCACACTGTTACGATCATTGGTAACTTGAGCTTGCAACCGTTGAGCAACTCCAGTAACCTCATCGCGGTGTACGGAGCGTTACAACACAAGAACGCTGCGATCACAAGAATTATTTTGCGCGCAGCACGCGCTTCGCGTTGCCTTCCGATTTCCTTACGAATATCCGCGAGATTTTGAATTCCAAATGTTCCAAGCCTGACAACCGCTGGCGCAATGCGTTGCGAATGTCGTCTTGCCACCTGGAAAATTTTATAGTACGCAACGAGCATAATCACGAGCGGAACTCCAAAATTGAACAAATAAAGACAGTACGCGAACGCGATTTCAGATCTGTCGCGGTACACTGAGGAGAAAGTGCAGAAAAAATAGTTCTCGTTGAATACGTACCACCCGTACAGAGTGGGGACTAGGGCGAATAACGCAGCTTGTATCCAAACATAACAAACGGAATTGAACGCCTTTTGCATCGTCATTTTTGCGCGATATTTGAGCGGTTTTATGACGGCGTAAAAACGGTCGATTGAGATTACAGCCAACGTCAAGATGGCGGAAATTCCCAGGATTTGGTTCGAGAATCCGTTAAAATGACAAAGAAGCGTCGTGAATGGCCAGTCATGGCGTACTAAGGCGCCCAACGAGAACGGCATGGAAAGTAGAGCCATTAAAAAATCGCACGTTGCAAGGTTGACAATAAATACACTTGAGAATTGCTGTCGAAGAGTTGTGTTGCGATACACGACAAAAATGACGAGAAAATTTGCAACCAATGCTGTCACGCACATCAATCCAACAATGATCCCGAGAAAAACCTTTTCCATTCTTCCAAAGTCGGACAGTGCGCGTGAAATGTTCTCTCCTGTAAAATATCCAACTATTCTGATGACAAAACAAAATGCTCACATTTCAATATGGCAAACTGGTGGGCTTTTTGACACCGATTCTAAATAAAGAATAAAATACTTAATTTCTACTTGATATGCTTTTTAGTTGTATCAATCAAGCGTTCTGATTGGTTGAACACTTTATAACATCTGGTGGTACTTAGACCATAATAGCTTTCTATATCGTACTGCCCCAAACTGCCAAAGTTAGGTATAAAATCCACTAATTAAGAAAAAAATATTTTCATTGGCATCTCTGACTCGATTGAATATTAGTTGAAGGGTATTGTATAGAAGGAAATTATCGAATGGAAATTTATATACATTTATAAGACCTAACCAGGAATAGAAGCGAAGAGTGCGAATTTAGGACGTCCCTGGCAGAAATCGAAGCTGCGGCCCTGTGAATCGCAATGCCAGCTGCATCAGGCATTGAAGGAAGAAATTCCGAAATGCCAAAAACATCACAAAACAAGCAACATCATTCTCAACTTGGCCTTCTAGCTCAGGAGGTAGAGCGTCCGCATTTTAGAAATGCGAAGGTCGCCGGTTCGATTCCCAGCCGTGGTCAAGTAGAACGTTCTATACCTGCCAGGCTGATACTCGTAAGAACCATCAAACACCAGAAATATATAGTATATGCTCCACACTACCCGCATTTAGTATAATCTTATCTCGAACCAAGAATAGCAAGTCACTAAGTCTCGTACTATCTAGTTATCTTCGATCTTAGCATTCTAATCGTTGATGTTCTCAGAGTTTTGAGGATAACGCGTGCGTGGGCCGTCAATTTGTCTGTGAACACCTTTTATATACAGCAAGGCCGTCGGAAGCGGGGGGGGGGGG